GAGCCCATCTGTACTCTGCGCCGCTGGGTGCCAGCTTAAATAAAGCGCTACTTTTTGCAAAGAGATGTCTCATTCTTTTTGGGGGTCCTTTTCCTTGGTAGAGCAATTTGGGGGCTCATCCGGGATCAATATAAGGATCCCCTAATCCCCCAGACTCTTTGCACCAGACCCTTCTCATCACTTGATCAACTTCTGTAAGTATCCTCTCTTTTCTGTTTGGTTTTGGTCTGCACATTTGTGGCAGTGGCAGAGCCTAGCTCTCCCACTGCACCAGAGCGGGACACCCTCCAGGGGCTTATCGCCCACTTAGTAATTTGGGGCTTCGGCCCATTTGACATTTGGGGTTTACACCCGTTTGCCTTTTGTTTGCCTTTTCTAATTTGATTTTTCCCTCCTAGGTCATATGCGACTCATCGGATATACGAGTCGTAGCAATAACCTTTTCCCTGCAGGTCGCCCAATCAAGGACAAACAAAGTCTCTTATGTGTGTTTACAATTTTCTGTCTTTTGTGGCGCCTTGTCTTGTGTTGCTTTGGTCGATTTGTTTCTATCCAAGAGTAACCATCAGCAACTAATCATGGGCCAAGGCTCTTCTGTGGCCCTGACACCCTTAGATTTGATCCTTAATCATTTTGCAGATTTCAGGAAAAGGGCCCAAGGGTATGGAGAACCTCTCTGCCCTGGGAAACTCCAAATATTCTGTTCCCTGAAATGGCCACATGGCATCCCCAGATGGCTAGACACTGGGACTTTTGACCTGACTACCGCGGAGGCAGTCCAAAGATATGTCTTCTGCCTTCCCCTACATCTTAACCAGATTGTCTACATACAGGTTTGGATCAACCTCATTCATGATCCTCCTTCTTGGTTGAAGAAGTTCCTTAAAGCTACCAATCAACAGCCTGGTAACCCTCCTTTGTTGGCTCCTTTGAAAACGAAACCAAAATCGGAGCTGAGCCCGATTTTGCCAGCCGACGAGGAGGAGCCCCCCCTACCGCCTTACCGCCCCTCCGCTCCCCTGGCACCTAGTTCTCCAGAACTCTGCTTTCCCGCTGTCCCGCCCTGATTGGAACCCCAACGTGACCGCAGGTAAGGAGGCTCTTGATCGGTATCGCCAGCTGTTCCTAGAAGCCCTTAAGGGCGCTGCCAGAAAACCCACAAACCTATCCAAGGTAAGCGAGGTAAGACAATTGGCAAATGAGTCCCCTTCGGGTTTTCTGGAAAGATTACAGGAAGCATATCGCATTTACACTCCCATAGATCCAATGGCTCCTGAGAATGCAAGGGCTATTAATCTTGCCTTTGTTACCCAGTTGGCCCCCGACATCAGAAAAAAATTACAGAAACTTGAGGGATTTGGAGGGATGCCCCTTAGTCAGTTATTAGAGGTAGCTCAAAAGGTTTTTGAGAATCGAGAAGACTGCCAAGAGACAACTGACAAAAAGCTAACTAAGGTGTTAGAGGTTTTGACTAAAAAGGTTACTAAAAAGAAAGATAAGGACCGTCCTCCACTAGATAAGAATCAATGTGTATATTGCAAAGAGCCTGGGCATTGGAAAAAGGATTGTCCAAAACTTAAAGCTAAACTGGAAAAGGATGCAAAGACCTTACTATCCCAGGGCTGAGGAAGTCAGGGCTCTTATGCTCCCCGAGAGCCCAGGTTAACCCTAAACGTGGGGGGCCAACATGTTGATTTTTTGGTGGATTCGGGTGCTGCCCACTCAGTCCTTACCAAACCAATAGGAAAACCTACAGGAAAAAATTTAAAGGTGTTGGGAACTACTGGTTCTGCCAAGATTTATCAAAAATTTCAGGCCCAACTTGCTGGACCTGGACAAAAGACTATGCTACATGAATTCTTATAGGTGCCTGAATGCCCTGACCCTCTATTGGGCCGTGACCTTCTGCATAAACTAAAGGTCCACCTTAGTTTTGAAACAACCATCCCAACAGTACAATTGGACAAAGACCTTTCAGAGCCTCAAACTAAGGTCTTGGCCCTATACCCAGAGGGAGAAGGACATTTGTTATTGGAAGCCCCTAAAACTGCTACAGATAGACTTATTACATGAATTAATGCAAGAAGTTCTGGGAGTATGGGTGGAGCAAAATCCTCCTGGACTGGCAGTCAACCAGGTACCTTTAGTAATTAAACTTATTCCCCAGGCCACCCCCATACGGCTTAAACAATACCCTATTGGCTTGCAGGCCTGCCAAGGGACAGCAAAACATACTCAGAAACTTAGAGATCATGACATTTTAAAGCCTTATGTTTCCCCTTGGAACACTCCCTTGTTGCCAGTGCAAAAACCAGGAACACAGGACTACCGGCCTGTGCAAGACTTGAGAAAAATAAATAAGAGAGTTGCAACCCTCCATCCAACGGTCCCTAATCCCTACACCTTGCTGAGCCTGTTAAGTCCGGAGCAGACCTGATATACTGTACTGGACCTCAAGGATGCTTTCTTCACTTTGCCTGTGGCTCTGATGAAAAATGGGGAATAGCCAAGGGAGTCCTAACCCAATGCCTGGGACCCTGGCAAAGGCCTGTAGCCTATCTCTCCAAGAGACTAGACAATGTGGCAGCCGGATGGCCCCCTTGCCTGCGAATGATTGCCTTTGTGGCCCTCTTAGTCAAAGAGGCCCACAAATTGACTTTTGGACAAAAGCTCTTAATTGTCTCCTCACATTCGTTGCAGACCCTCATCAGAGCCCCACCAGACCGATGGTTGTCGAACGCCCGAGTAATGCACTACCAAGCTTTGCTCCTAGACCCAACAACTATCAGTTTCAAGGAAACGGCCGCTTTAAACCCAGCCACCCTGCTGCCTGATGATGACCCCTCCCAGCCCCTCCATGACTGCAAGGAGATCATCGATCATCTTGCAAGCTTGAGGCCAGATTTAACTGATGAGCCCCTGATAGGGGCTCCATGTTACTTCTCTGATGGGAGCAGCTACATCCTCCAAGGTAAGCGAGTGGCTGGAGCAGCCGTCACCATGGACTCCCAGGTCTTATGGGAACAAGCCTTGGAACCAGGAACATCGGCACAAAGGGCGGAGCTCATAGCACTCACCACCGCCCTCAAGCTGGCAGAAGGTAAGGAAATCAACATTTTTACTGATAGCAGATATGCATTTGCTACTGCCCATGTCCATGGGGCCATTTATCAGGAATGAGGCCTATTGACTTCTGGGGGCCAAAGGATCAAAAATGCACCCCAGATTTTGGACTTGTTAGCTGCCATATGGCTGCCCCAAAGGGTGGCAATCATTCATTGTAAAGCCTACCAGACTGGAGATGATCCTGTTGTACGAGGCAACAACTTAGCAGATGCCACTGCACGTAGGGCAGCCATAAAATCAGTGGGGATTAAAACAACACATGAATTGCTACTGATCCCCCCCACCCTGTCTGAACCTGTCTATTCTCAAAAAGATTTGCACTTGGCGGCTCAGCTTCAGGCAAAGCCAAATGTTCCAGGGGGATGGTATCAACTGCCTGACAAGAGAATCCTTCTCCCTAAAGCCTTGGGCCAAGAACTTATCTCACAGGCTCATCAGTCTACTCATCTCGGGGGATCAAAGCTAGCCACATTGTTCCGGGACCACTTTTTCATTCCACAATTAACTAAGCTTAGTCAGTCTGCAAGTCTCAGATGCCCTCAGTGTCAGCTTGTTAACCCCAAATGCCCACAACAAATTGAAACCACTCGATATAGAGGAACCATGCCTGGAAAACATTGGGAGATAGACTTCACTGAAATGGGAAAGCCTGGACTTCAGGGATATAAATATTTGTTGGTTATGCTTGACACCTTTACTGGATGGGTTGAAGCATTCCCGACTAAGTCTGAGTCAGCTTTGATAGTAGTCAAAAAGCTTTTATATAAAATAATTCCTCGATTTGGCCTCCCTTTATCTATGGGGTCCGACAATGGCCTGGCTTTCATAGCCCAAATAACTCAAAAATTAACTAAGGCTTTACAGATTGATTGGAAACTCCATTGTGCCTATCGACCTCAGAGTTCAGGACAGGTGGAGAAAATAAATCAGACTTTAAAGACAATTATGACTAAAATGGCTTTGGAAACTGGCGAAAACTGGGTGAGTCTCCTTCCCTTTGCCCTTTTGCACGCATGTTGCACACCTTATGTTGCAGGAATCTCCCCTTTTGAGGCCATGTTTGGGAGACCCCCTCCCCTCATTCCCAAAATTGCTGAAGAAAAATTAGCTGATTTGGCTAATCAGGATCTCATTAAGTCTCTCCAGGTTCTCCAACCCATCCTAACCTTGATCCATCAGCTATTCAAGCAACAGCATCCTCCGTCCCCCACCTCCACCCAGGACGACCTCTTAACTGTGCAACCTGGGGACCTAGTGCTCATCAAAAGACACCGCCGAGAATCTCTTGAGCCACACTGGGAAGGTCCCTTCACGGTGGTCCTCAGAACTCCGACAGCAGTCAAGGTTGCCAGAAAGACTGCCTGGATTCATCATTCTCACATCAAACCAGTCCCGACCCCAGACAAAGACCAACCCTCAGATAAGTGGACTGTGGCCTCTTCTGGAGACCCTTTAAAGCTTAAATTAACCAAATGTACTTGACTGTTCTGATCTTATGCATCCTCCCCTGTGGGGACACAAATAAACTGGGCCATGCCCCATTACATGGGACTTGGAAAATAACTGATTATAGCACAGGCGAGGTGCTAGCTACTAATAGCACTGTCCATGGTGTCATCTCCCTTATCTGTGTGCCATGCTCAATATGATGCCTCAAAAGGTCAGAACTCCAAGAATGGAACTGGATACATATGCCATGATTTCCATTAAAAATAGGATGGCAAACAAACCCACTGGACCTTGCCGCGACTTACACAGTCAGAAGGTCTTACAGTCCACCGGATGGTATCTCTGCCCCCAAACCCAATATTATCAGGGGGTACCTTATAGCTATAAGACCCAATACTGTGCATACTCGCAGCAAACAGAGTTTTTCTGCCGATATTGGAGCTGTGTGACTATCTCCCCTTGGAATGAAGGTGATGCAGACGAACACCTTCACCTCACCCGTGGCACTCCTAGCACTTGTGAACTTAACAAATGCAACCTGATGACCTTTACAGCAAAGAAGCCCACTAGTAGACTCTAGAAATAAGGATTACATTACGGTATTAGACTCTAGACTTCAGGTTATAACCCTGGAAACTCTTTTACTATACAGCTCATTCCAGGGCCCCCATGCATAGCTCCCGCTCGCCCCATAGGACCCCTAGCTCCCCAACCACCTCCACCTCGTCACATTCCCTCTTCTTTCCCACCGCCCACTACACGCCCCCCTCCTCCTTCTTTTTCCTCTGAAACAGCTATATCCTTCTTCCCCACCACTCTCACTGCACCCCCAGACCCTTTCTTGCCTCTATATATTGCTTTCCAGTTCCTAAATTTCAGCTCCCCTAACCTTACCACTGACTGCTGGCTATGCCTTCCGTCTCGTCCACCCTGCTATACGGGCACTCCTATGATAAAGAGCAGCCTTCTAACTCCTCCGCTGATGACCCCACTTGCTGGTGGGGCGCTAAGCCCCTGCTCACCTTGGACAATGTCCAAGGCACACCCGGCACCTGTGTCTACTCTGCCTCCTATTCTCTGCGAACCTCACCTTATGCTTCACTTTGTAACTTGACCTTTTCCATCCAGATCTCCAATTTTTCATACCCTGCTAATCAGCATTTGGTTGCTCCGAACAGAACCTGGTTTGTCTGCACTTCTGGCATTATTCCTTGTGCTATGCATCATTTGTTCATTCAACATCCTGAGCTTTGTATCGTGGTGCATGTCCTTCCTCAGGCCTATTGGTATTCAGGGAAAAATGGAAAAACCACATTCTACCTGGCTTAGGCTCCCAGGAACTTAACCTTCAGAAAAGAAATCCTGTGCTTATCCCCACCTTGCTAGGACTGGGGATAGCCAGATCCATGGGGTTGGGGGTATCCAGTTTGGTCATTGGGGACCAAAATTACAGACGCCTAAGCGCCCTCATTGATCAAGGCTTGGCCTCTCTCAGTGACTCGGTGTCCAAACTGGAAGACTCCCTAAGTTCCTTGGCCGAAATGGTTCTACAGAACCGACGAGGTCTAGATTTGTTATTCTTAAAGAAAGGTGGCCTTTGTTTGGCCCTGGGAAAAACCTGTTGTTTATATGCAAACCACTCTGGTGTCATCCGACAAAATATGGCAAATCTCAAAAAAAGATTACAAAAAAAAAAACAAGCTAGACAAGCTGAATTAAACTGGTTTGAACGATGGTTCTCCTTCTCCCCTTGGTTAACAACTCTGATAACTGCTGCTGCTGGACCCCTGTTAATTTTGCTTGTTTGTGTAACTGTTGGGCCATGTATCATTAACAAACTGTTGGATTACGTCAAGAGCCAGGTACAAACTATTAAGCTAATGATTTTAAGGACTCAGGGTTATGAGCAAATTCCTCTGACTTACTTTATGAGGCAAAGATTTGCCTCACTAACATCAAATCAGTGGGGAATGTTGTAACCTGACCAAAGTGCTGCCATCCTGTTCCGTATGCGCCGTTTCCCCTCACCCTCCAGTCACCCATTGTACCCTCAAAACCCCCTGCTAAAAATCCTCTGCTACAGTTCCCAGGCAATGCAAAAACCACAAGAGCCAAATTGTTAACTTGATGTTCTTGTGAAAAGCATCGGTTCTGAGAATTATAACCACCAAAAGTACCTAGCACTCTGCAAAGACAAGATCTGGGTATTGACTGCCTCCCTTTGTGGTTTTTCACTTTATAAGCTTCTTGCTGTTCTCCTCAGCGAGCAGCAGCTTGCAGAGCCCATCTGTACTCTGCGCTGGGTACCAGCTTAAATAAAGCGCTACTTTTTGCAAAGAGATGTCTCATTCTTTTTGGGGGTCCTTTTCCTCGGTAGAGCATAATTCTAATATTGGAAAGTCTAGAGCAGGAGAACTGCATGGCAATTTAGTGATTTAGGGAGAACCTGCCTCAAAATTTTAAAAGGGATGGAGGTGTAGCTCAGTGGCAAAGACCTGGGTTCAAACTCCTTGCAATGCAAAAATTCAAAGAGGAAGAACGGAGAGAAGAAAAAGGAGAGAGGGAGGTGGGCGTGAGGAGAGAGAAGGAAAGAAGAAAAAAGGAAAAGAAAAATGGAAGGAAGGAAGGAAGAAACGAAGGAACTGTACGCCTCAGAAGATAAAAAGAACAAACTGTAGGGGAACAGTTTACCCATACATACATACATACATACCTGTGTAAAAAGGAAAACAACTTCATTGAGTTTTCAAAGCATTAATTCATTCTACCACACAATAGCGATGTTTACCCTGTACATGTTTTGTATTCTTAATAAATGATAATAAGCTTAAACAAAGTATCAGCATTTTCTCAAAATCAAGATCAAAATTAGAATCACGCTCTGTAAAAACTAGTTTATGTCACGTGTGGTGGCACACACCTGCAATTCCAGCACTCAAGAGACTGAGGCAGGAGGATCACTGAGAGTTTGAGGCCAGCCTGGGCTACAGAGTGAGCTGAAGGCCAACCTGGAATACATAGTGAGATCCTGTCTCAAAAATAAAAACAAAATAAAACAAAACAAACAAATCTAAATTTACTTACTTATGCTGGAATAAAGTACAATGATTTCTCAGTCCAAGGAAAATGCAACTAATCACCAGTCCCACTATGAATGGGATAGCAGCCTTTTGAAAATGAAAAAAGAGTTTCAATTAGATGTAAAGATTTTTGCACATCATTTATTATAAGATATACAGCTACATCATAGATCTCTCCATTGGAATAAACACTTTAAGTAGTTTGGCCAGAGTCCCTAGGGGAATAGAATACAAATGTGTATGTTATTAGAATACTTTCCAAATTAAATTGGAAACTAAGTTAGGTGTTGTTTCAGGACCTGATAGGACAGTACAGCAGACTAGTAGAAAAGCTAATGTTTCTCCCAGTGACCACCAGCCACTGCTGGCTCAGGGCCATGAATGTGACACAGGTGAGCAGAGCAATGCAAGTACCTAAGGAAGTTGTTTTGGGAAGAAAGTAAAGTCCAAATGGCTGAGTTTCGACTTGAAGTAAATTCTTAACTCTTGTGCCTGTGAATATAACCAATTTTATACTTTAAGAGGGTCAACAGAAAAGAGAATGTTTTTATATTTAATACTGGAAATAAATAAAACTTTGGCTATGGATGTAGCCCAGTGGTAGAACGTTTGCCTAGCATGGGCCAGACTTTGAGGTGGATCTTCAGTATGGAAAGTGGATAAATAAGAAAAATTTAAAAGCACACCTGCAATTTCTTATAATGGAATTTTGTACAATAAGAAAGTACTGGTGATCTGGACCCTATCTACCCAACCTCTGGAAAGACCCTGTCTAAATGGGGAAGTGTATTGTCACTGTCACCAAAGCCTCCAGGACCCAAACACTTCCATTACCCCTCTCCTTGGTCACTGCTTCTCTACCAACCTCAGCCAGTGAGGCCTACAGTGCACATGGCCCCCTGAACTTCCAGGGCTTTGCCTGCTCACCTGCCCAATCTGTGTGGATGGCTCTCAGCGAGATTGGACAAACAGCACTTTTGTTTTAATGATGCCCCAGTTAAGAAAGGGTTAAAGGTTACAGAATGATGTAATTTATTTGAGGGATTCTACTTGTAATTATGCTGGGTTACATATAAAAATACAGGAAATGGTAATCTAAAAACAAGATATTCTACCTTGTATCTTGAAATTTTCAAAGTAAAAAAAAAATCTCAGTGCTGCAACACTATAAAGATATGAAGTAATTTGTAAAGGACAGGTTTGGCAAGAAAACCAAATAGATAAGTAGAATCAAGACAGGCGGTGCATGCCTATAATCCTAGCATGGTGGGAGGCTGAGTACGGAGAATTGCAAGTCTGGTAATTTACTCAATCTGGGCAATTTACCAAATTGGTCAGACCCTGTCTTAAAAAAAATAAAAGGCTGACAATATAACTCAGTTGCAAAGTCCTGGGTTCAACCCCTCATATTGCAAAAAATTTAAAAATAAATAAATACTAAAACACCCAGAAAATTAGAATCATGCTCTGTGAAGACTAGTTTGTGAAGACCATAGTTTAGAAAGATTATTATTATTATTTTTTTTTTTT